TAGACTGGGGGTGCACATCCGTGCCATCGACTTCTGTGACCTGGAACTCGTGTTCGTCGATCTGTAAAGCGAATTCTGCGAATGCTCCGACGTTGATGATGCGAAGTCGCGTGTTGCTGGTACGAGATAGGTTGAACAAGGCGTTACTGGTGCCAGAGGAAGAGCAGTTTCGATTCGGCAAGTCGGCGCAGTCTCGCATGTTCCTTCCGTTGATCAAGGCGGAGGGCGGAACGGGTTCGTCGTTCTCGCTGCCAGGGGCGAGGTACTGCATGAGTAGATCGGAAGAGAGGTCGTGGTAGTAGTCTGATACCATGACTATGCGGTCTTGCTCGTACGGTATCTTTTGCAATTCATCTTTCTCTTCTCCGCCTCTGGCATGGATGATAAGAGGTCCCACCAAACCATCTGATACTTGCATGCTGACGTGCGAATGGTACCAGTACGTTCCCGTCTGTCCTGATACGTTGAATCGGTATGTGAACGAGTGGCCTGGAGCAATAGGACATTGAGTAACTCCCACTGTTCCGTCCATCCAGTTCGTACCGTTTTGATAGAGACCGTGCCAATGGAAAGAAGTAGCGTTGATAGCTTCGTTCTGAACATTAATAACAAGCTCGTCGCCTTCGTTACACTCGATAAGCGGTCCGGGAAAGGTACCGTTGATGAGTATCATGGGTCGATACACGCCATCAGGGTTGAGAATGTAGTCGGATACTACCCATGTATACTCTCGGGTCGTAGGCGGTGCGTTGAAATCCCATGATGCAGAGAGTATGTACTCTTCTTCCGGTCGAAGTCTTGCAGGATGAGCATCAAGGGAGGGGGATGTATCATTCCGGGTACTTGTCAGACCCCGATACACCAGGGCTATGACTGTACATATAAGAAGCGAAACGACGGTCACGGGCCTGATCCATGGCCACCGATGAATGTGATGGTGTGAAACGTCGTGCTTGTCGCTCCAGCGCGGTTCCAAGTCGTTTTCTTGGTCTTCGCTGCCTCGAGATCGGTAATCGTCTGTGGGTGCATGCAGCAAGCCAACTTGCTCCTCAGGCTTGTGCATATTCGATTTAGATATCTCTTTCATGCCGAAGCTTTGGTTGCGGCCCATCGCGGTTAGCTTCCAAGAGACCTCATCAAGTCCCTGCCGGTATAACCAAAACGTGGTTCAGGGTATATATGTAGCAGTAATTGTTCTTGTTTGATGTTTGGCAATTTCCGTGTCAAGCACCCCGTCGTCCCTGCGTCGGATCTGATCGTTGTAACGTGCCATCTCGTTCAAGGAGCCTCTGAACACAACCACCACCAGCCATCCGCTGCACGGGTCCAGAAGATCATCACGCTACGCCACCCCACCTGCAGTGTCACTGGTGTCAGGTGTGGCCATACCTTGGATCTGCGGGTCGTACTAGGTTTGCCGAGTTCGTGTCCAATCAGCCCCGCACGTTCACCTCTCAAAGCTATCTAAAGCTTGTCGACCTTCCTAAAAAGCTTATCCTCCCGCATCGATGCGCGAAGTACTCTCCCTAAGAGTGCGCACATGTGCGCTGCGAAGAATGTCATTGGTGGAGATGTGACGGCTATACTGCAGGTCGTCCCAGTGATGTCCAGACCCTTAGGCACTACCTAGCGGAAGCGGCGCCTCATGACCCTGGCAGATGGGATGAAAAGCCCTGAGGAGAAACTTCATGTATGCCTGCTTCTGTCATTTCATCCGGCGTTTCTCCGTTGTCTTGACGTTCCTTGGTAAGGAGATATTGTGGTAGAAGGAGCCGAAAGGGCGTGCTAACCGAAACAACAGATTTGTCTAGCCATCATGATTACTCCACTCGTTTCGTCTCTAGCACTTCTAGCGATCTTGAACCCTGTACAAGCCCAAAGTACATTCCCAGGGAAAGCCTTCGACCGTATAGCCATAATATGGCTTGAAAACACCGACTACGATCTCGCAGCAGGAGACCCAAACCTAGCATGGCTCGCAAAGAAAGGCATTAGCCTCACGAATTACTTTGCAGTAACGCATCCTTCCATGCCCAACTATGCAGCTGCCATTTCAGGCGACTACTACGGCATCAACCACGATGACATGGTCGCCATTCCCTCCAACGTATCCACCTTGGTAGACCTCCTCGAAGACAAAGGTGTTAGCTGGGGCGAGTACCAAGAAGACATGCCTTCAGTAGGTTTCCAAGGGAAATCGTACACGAACCCTAAAACCGGAGCGAACATGTATGTTCGCAAGCACAACCCAGCTGTGCTGTATGATTCCGTGGCGCAAAAGACGGAGAGGCTGGCAAAGACAAAACCCTTGACCATGTTCAAAGAAGATATGGACAAGAACCAGTTGCCGCAGTGGATGTTTATCACCCCTAATATGACGAGCGACGGTATTTCACCCAATACATCCTGCACATCCCCGTAGAAACATACTAACACCCACAGGCCACGACTCCACCGTAACAGTAGCAGGAACCTGGACGCGCAACTTCCTCGAACCCCTCCTCACCAACAAGAACTTCATGAACAACACCCTCGTCATGGTAACCTTCGACGAGAACCACTCCTACGGCCAGCAAAACCGCGTCGTGGCCATACTGCTAGGCGATGCCGTGCCCGCCAGCTTGGTCGGCACCACAGACAACACGTACTACAACCACTACAGTGAGATCGCCACTGTACAAGCAAACTGGGGCTTACGTACGCTGGGCCGCTGGGACGTGGGCGCCAACGTGTTCAAATTCGTAGCGGAAAAGACGGGCGATGCGGTGCGAGCTTGGTCGGGCAAAGTTCCGTTGAGCAATATGTATTTCAATGCGTCGTATGCGGGCAAGTTGAGCAACAAGAACAAGTCGGTTCCCTGGCCTGTGCCTAACACGGATGCGGTGTATGCGGGGAGGGCTGTGTTGCCGGCTATTGCGGATACGTGGGGGAAGCAGGTTGGGCAGTCTGCGTATACGACTGCGTTGGAAATTCCGGATGGCATGCATCCGGAGGCTGAGTTCAAGTAGACGCGCTCATGACTAGAACTTTGAAGATGATCGCTTACATAGAGCAAGAAGTACCAATGAGTACTGAGCTATCGATTGATGGTACGCTTTGCAGTCACGCTGTAACTATAAAGTGTAACTGCAAAGCATACGATCATTCAATAGCCCAGTACTCATTGGTATCGACTGATCCGATATAAATTATCCCTAGACTGGGTCATGCCCGCTGTACATATCGCTGTCAACTAAACTGCCCATTGTCTGCGCGACGCCTTCTTTGCCTCCTCCATACCCTTGGCATCTCGTCGCAACACAGCACCCACTACTTGTATCCTGCCCACATCGGCATACGCGCCCTTCCCAATTTCCTCTGGCCAGATGTCTGGATGCAGAATCGTGTACTCTGCAAGATCCGCGCCTTCTACTTGTTGCAGCTTCTCCAAGAAGATGTCATGGCCAGGGTTAGCCGTCGGCATTGCGACACCCGTGTAAACCACGATTACACCAGTCGACGACAAGATTTTCATGCCTTCTTCTACGATGCGTATGGAAAGGTCGAGGCCGAAGCCAGCGCCACCGTCCGCATATATGGGCAGATCCTCGCCGTCTGTACTCGATGCGATGTATGGTGGGTTGCTGACAATCAGATCCACACCATGGTGCTTCAGATCTTCAGGCACGGTCGCGAAAAGGTTCGACTCAGCCAAGCCCACTTTGACGCCCGCCAGCTGCGCATTGACCTCGGCCAGACTCAACGCACGCGGATTCAGATCCAGCCCCAGCGTCTTTGCCTGCGGGTATGTCCTCGCCATGTGTATCGCGCCTGCGCCGGCTCCGCAGCAGACATCTACGATACTGCTGGGCGCATGTGGGAGGTGTCGGGATATGGTTTGGAGGAAGCCGACGAAGAAGTACGTGTCGGGGCCGCAGAAGACGGAATCGGACGCCGCTGGGAAGGAAGAATGAATGTAGTACAGCGAGGAGACATCAGGATCGCGACTCGGGAGGCTGGGAAGGTACAGGTTGGATACGCGGATGGTGGAGCGGTAGCTTTTGTCGTCATTCTGTGTGATCACGCTGGCTTCGTGGAGGCGTTCGAATATGTCGTCGGGTATTATCGATCGGAGTGCTTCTCTGTCAGATTGTTAGTACTGCACAATATACGATACCTCTTCCGTAGACGACAAACAGTGAAATGTATGACCTACCTAGTACATGACAAGTTCCAACCAAAGAAGTCGTACGCGTTCTGGGCATCTTCCGTCGCGACATTAGAGCGCCTTTTCTCCACTACCCTGCCCTGTGTCTCTGGCGATGGACACACAAAGACGTACTTCTGCTTGGCTAGATGGCTAGTCAGGGCCTGGTAGGCGATGGTAGTTTCCGACATGGTTGGAGGAGTGCTACACGTTTGTCTCCGCGGGCGACTTCATGGCGTAACGCCTCTGTGACACAGCCAACGCGTCTAAGTGTCAGTGCACATAGTACCAAGAGTTACCTGCGCCGCGGAGGACAAGCAGGTGTCACTGTGACGTTGTTGTTAGTAATGAAGGCTGCGTGAAAGCCTTCGTGCATGTCGTGATCTGGCCTGATCTACCCGAATAAGAGCTGTTCTAGACGCGCAGTGCAGATTGCATGCAAAGAAGCATCGCTTTTTCTTGTCGCTTGTCGCATCGCTTGCAGTTAATGGACAGATTGATGTCGCGAAGACGTTAGCTCCCACGCGGAAGGGTCGCGCGGTTTGTGGGGTGCGCTTGGCCTAGCTATAAGCAGTCTAGTGCCAGATGTCGTCACGGATCCATTTCCCGGCGATGACATTGACATCTCAAAAGACACCGCTGCGTGGTATTCATCGTCAGCATGATCTACTGTGCGTGTTTGCCTGGGGGCGCATGCTTCGCCACAGCTGCGCTGGGAATACCTAGTCAAAACCCATGTGCTACTTCATAGCTGGAAGAATGGATTACTATTCACATCAAACTCACGCTTGCACATTACGATAGATTACTCATAATGTTTATTCTACAGACTACTACAGCTGTACTCATTGCGTTTGTTGCGGTCATTGCCTACAATGAAATTCGAAATCGTCTTGCGAAAGGACGATCAAGAAGAAAGGATCTTGAAACCCCAGGCAGCCCAACCATACCAGCCACGAACGACGCCAAACCACCGGTGGATGACGGGACTTTGGAGACATCTGTCATCATTCAGACGAAACACTCAATCGACCCCGAACTTGAGAGATACAAGCAGCTTTACTACAAACTCCATCGTCTCGAACACCACCCCGAAATCCTACCAGAGTGTCGCGAGCTCCTCCTTGGTCTCCTCTCCTCAACTATCGCCGACGCAGCCAAGGAACCCCACAGCGGAATCTTAACCGTCGAACAATTCTCGCGCGACGGATTAGATGAGTTCCTCAAAGCCAAGGACGTCGACGTCACCAACCGCTGGGAGGAGTACCTTACGCGTCGCAGAGCCGGTGGATCCCGCGAGATGTTCAGTGACAAGGAGGAAGCGAAGTGGTGGCTCAAGCAAGCAGCACCAGTCAAGTACGTCGATGGCGCATGGCTCGGACACATCAACAAGATTAGCACGCCATTCAAGTACCGTCAAATCACCAAGAATGCCTGGCAGGTCATGTCCGAAGAACTTGGGGACGGAGATCTCGCAAAGAATCATGTCCATGTGTATCGAGAACTGATGGAGGACATTGAAGCTAGGCTTCCCGCTGCTGATTCAGAAGATTTCATTCATCCCCGTCACAATTTGACTGAAGCACGCTGTTGGAAAGCCGCCATGGCACAGCTCACCATCTCCTTGTTCCCCCACGAGTTCTTTCCAGAGGCTTTGGGCTTCAACATGGCGTACGAGAGTCTGCCGCTCCACTTGTTGAAGACCGTCAAGGAACTGCGCGAACTTCGATTAAACCCCTACTACTTCGAGCTTCATATTTCCATCGATAATGCCGATTCGGGTCACGCCGCGATGGCAATGGCTGCAGTTACCAACTACATCGAGTTGGTTGCAGAGCAAGAAGGGGAGGAGGCGGCGCGTATTGCGTGGAAACGCGTACAGGCTGGCTACATCCTCGCTGAGGGCTTGCCTACGACTCCCGAAAGTCCATCGCTCAAGGTCCAGGCCGAAGAGCCCTTTCCTCGTACGGGCACAGAGGCGGCGTTGGTCGACATATTCGCTGCAAAGAGCTTTGTTGCTCATAAAATCCACTGTAACAGTCGCCTGAAAATTGGCCGCCGTTCTTTGGTGGACTGGCTAGAGCCGAATGCTTTCAAAGACGCTCAGTGGCAGAAAGAATTCCTACATGATCTGAGTAACTGCAAACCTTGGGTTATAAAGGGCGACAGTGAAAAGAGCCGACTGGTCAAGGAGTTATCATGGGAAGGCAAGATGTTTGGAAGTTTTACTGAGAAAGAGGTGGAAGTCGTGAAAGCGTGGATCGACGAACTTGGCTCACCCACCCAGTCTCCGAAGTCTGATCCAAACGTGTACTTTGACTTCACGGGACAGTCTTCTAGTCCTCCGGTAGAAGCCGTGACCCAGGACTTGGACATCCTTACCGACTATCCCGTCCTCGCGTCACCAGAACCGATCACTTCGTTCACGACCTCTGACATCAGCAGTTTAAACATCGACGAATCCTTCATTCTCAATTTCAGCAACATCAATCTGACCAACCTCCTCCCACTATGGCTTACCTCACCCACTCTACTTGAAGCACTACCCGCAGTACCCGTCCGCGCTGCTGACATGTTCGGCTCCGCCATCGTACGCGTACTTCGCGCACAGACCGGGTTCAGTGCAGAAGGTCCTGGTGTCGCCGGCATGGACGAAGTTCATCGGACCGACGACGGTCACGCTGTCGGTCTTGTGAAACTTGGCTTGCGCATGTGCCGCAGGGAAGGTCTGCATGTACCTGTCAGCTTGAAAGAGGGTGTTGCTTTGGGTGATGATGACATTATTGCGTTCTCGAAGTGGATGCTTTGGATGGGTATGCGATGGCTGACACACCGGGATGTGCTAGTTGGTATGGCTTGGGCGTTTATGGAGATGCACGAAGCGCTGGCTAGATGTCAACGAGACATTGCATTGTTGGATGAAGAGAGTCTAAATGTACTGCAAGAGATCGCGGTCAGAGAGAGAAAAGGGCTTGAAGTCTGCAGAGAAGAGATCTTCCAAGACCAGAAGCGCAAGGAGGAGTTTAGTAGAGGTCTTTCCACAGCAAGACGAGCGATCAAATCATGTTTCACATAGCAATAGTTGGAAGAGGATCATGTGTAGAACTAGGCATCTTACGATACCCATGAATTCATCTGTTCAAAAGGTGGCCCTCAGGGCTAAAGGAAAGAAGCGAAATCAACAGCCAGACTATATACAACTCTCCAGCTCAAAAATGTATGTACAATGAAAGACTTTTTAACAAGCCAAAGTAGTCGCCCTCTACTTCTTGAGGGTAAGGAGACCGGGCCTGTAGGGGAGACGGTCGTAGTCGCCACCGGCGTTGGGGTTGCGGCCCTGGTACAACAGCTGCAGGTTGCAAGGGTCGACAGTCATGGTCTCGTCGTTGGTGACCTTGACCAAGTCTCCGTGGGAGATGTCGTTGGTCCAGGTGGCACCGCTGTTGGCCTTGCCGGCGAAGGGGTTCTGCTCGGTAGCAGCGTTGGGGGTCCAGCTGCCGCCGAGGCTGGAGGCAGTGAAAGAGCGGAAGTAGCGGCCACCAGAGCCGACGGCCTCGACAATCATGAGGTACTTCTTGGAGGTTCCGCCCTTGACGGTGTAGACCTGGACAGCCTCGAAGAGGTTGTTCTGGGTGTCGCTCATGACGACGGTGGAGGCAGTGCCGAAGTTGCCGGGGAAGTTGCCCTGGGGCATGCTGGAGCGGTAGATCTTGCCGTTGTCACCGGCGAAGAACAGGTACATGTTGGTACCGTCACCGATCAGGGTCTGGTCAATGGGACCAGTGCTGGAGCCGGAGATGGTTCCAGAGAAGAGGGGCTTGGCCGCACTCCAGCCGTTGGCGTTGGTGGGGTCTGAGGAGGTCTTGTAGGAGAAGGCGGTAGGTCCCCACTGGTAGGCAATGACCCAGGTGCTCTTGGGCTTGAAGTAGAAGAGAGTGGGCGCGACGAGACCCTGGTTCATGGCGTTCTGGGGAGCAGATGCGAGCTCGTTGAAGTTGGAGACGACGCCGAAGTTCATGGAGCCGTACTTGGAGCCGGTGTCGTGGTTGGTGGCGTAGACGAGGTGCTTGCCGTTGACCATCTGGGTGGTGAAGTCCTTGAGGTTGGCCCATCCGGCCTTGGGCTGGGCGAGAGCGTTGGATGAAGTCCACTTGTAGCTGGTGGGAAGCTGGCAAGTCTGGGCTGAAGCAGTTGCGCCCAAGAAGGCGACTGCGACAGCGGGAAGGCTGAGGTCGGTAGGAGTGAAACGCATGGTTGCTGATGTGTGGAGAGACTGTTGAGTGAGTGAATGAGAGACTTGGTTGTGTGTTGAGGCCTTACAGACGGACAGCAACAGGATACTTATACCTCCAAGCCTGATGTCGGACCTACCAACCCACAACGTACACAGCCTGTCACATCGTCTCCACTACGCAGACCACCTCATTGTCTCGACCGATCACATTGGCCTCGGTCATAGCTCATCCCGGCGCTGGAAATTGATCTCCATACCGTGGGTCTGTTTGCGGCGTAGTATATTGTTCCGTTGTTGTGGGTATATTAATGACATGGTGTTTCAAGGGAATTGGCGTACCTGCGCGGACACCAATTCTCCGTAATGCGGGGATTACCCGGCAAAGGGATGCCATGCCGTTCAGAAGCCCGGTTGGGGAAGGCGCCAAGTCGTGGTGGGTAATGCTTGATTTCCATGCAGGCTTATGCGGCAACTAACGGTCTGATCGCTAGGGCTGAAGGCTCTATTTTGACGTCTTTCGGTCTCTGCGATTGGTAGTAACAAGGCCATGCAACCATTTTGTTTCAATGTTTAGACGCGACAGAGGGTGGACAGCTGTGTTGATTGCTGGAAACAAAATCTCGGCGGTATTCCCACAAATGTGAGTGGTAGTTAGCTTTGTGATACAGAAACTGCCACCGGGTGTTTACCAGAATCCACTAATCGCGCCACTCAAGGTTTAGTGCCCGCTGTGACCAGATGTCAAAACACCGTGAAACACCCGGTGGGCGGAATCTAGAAGCAGGTGCAGAAATGTCGGTGGCGCAACAATGCTGGTGGTCAGGCCAGCGTTTGAACGATCACAGGCAGCTCAGACGGGATCTTAGCGAGGTTGAAGTTGTTGGCAATGCTTATGCTGCGGCGCATTGATACCCGTCCTGACATTGACACTACGTCAATGGATGTGGACCTTTGTTTCGTTTCAACTGCGCGTAGCACAGGGGAAGATAACGACCGCTTTTGCACCGCCCTGGAGTCGGTGAGTGATCTCGAAGCAGTTCATTCCGGTCGCGCATAGACCATGAGTCTACTGTAAGATTGTACGGAGTGCGTTCTAGATGGAGAGGACGTGGTCGCCGAGTACACCTACCACCTACGCTACTGAGATCATTCCAAGATTCGTATGAAGACGAGGCGGTAGGGTCGGTAGTTGAGTCGACTCGTGGAATTTCTTTGCCCGTGAGTATGAACAGCGGTGGTGTGTGGCGCCACCGACAGTGCTGGCAGCCAAGTCACTTAGAACGTTGCCGAGGAATCAAAGCCGACCAGATGACCGACTCAATGTGGACTAGTAGTAGAAGTCGTAAGCTGAGCGCAAGGGTCGGCACGAGGACTAGGGCTGTATATTGAGCAAGTGAGCCCCTTACCGTGTTGACAGTTCTGGCGAATTCCTGCGACAGTATCTCTCTGCGCGGTATCTTGACTGTATCTTGACACACAACTCGACAGATGTCATCGTACATTCGGAAGCACGGAGCCTATCTTATGGGTACCTTCCGAATCCACTGTACCCCATACCAAGCCTGTAGGAGCCGTGTAGGAAGCTGGGCATCCCAAGACACTAGGCATCTCCCGTGGCTGCAGGAAACGTTCCCAAGACGGGTTTTAGCATGGTTCTGGCGCTTAAATGCCCCGTGGGGAAGTAATATAGTTGTCGGCAGTCGCGTGGTTCTGATGATATGTGGCGTCTTGCCCAGAGACGGAATATTCAACGCCGCCCGTTGCGTCCACACTGAGACTCAATCGTATTATGGGTAGGCTAACTTGACACGTCTGTTAAGACTGCTCGTGAAGCAAATATCGAGATTAATTCCACGGTGCATTCGCTGTCCGACGAGATGGCAAAGTGTCCATGTTGGTCAGGGTTTGTATGTACGGGGTACAAGGATAAGGAATATTTAGCCGTCGTGAGTTCGTGCAGGCAAACTGACGAGCTGGTCGGCTAGGAGTACTGCACATTCTGGCTGAGATGTCAATTGTACGGTATATGTGCGAGGCATGATTGGGATGAGGAAGGAGTGCAAGCTGTTGTCTGAGTTGTAGACGAAGCGAGTGCTGACTCAGCCACTTCCCTATTCGGAATGCATTCGCTGAGGAAGTAGCGAGCTTTGCGCAACCTTTGTTTCTGGCCTCTGACACTGCAAGCTGTCGATTACACAGGCTCTTACTTGGTCGGAATGGATATTATGTTGTGATTGGAAGGTCGTTGTATCATTAGCAGATGTATAATGGTTTGGCATTACAGGCATCGCATACCCATCTATTTAGCCTCATGATGAGCCCCTCTCACTGGAATTCGAAACTGCCGGTAACAATTACACTGTGTTGGAAAGATGGCAGGATCGCAGAAGGTGCTGCTACCGCCTAAATCCTGCAGCTCGACTAGCACCCCAGCCTTGTTCCTGGATGAATTGAGGTCCCTCAAACTCAGATGTCTGAGTGCTGGCTATATGGATGAAGCCGGGGTTTTCATGAAGCCATACACGTCTTCATCCATGATGAAATGTGACCAGAACCGTGAACGCAATGTGTTTCGAAGATGTAGTAGTTGGAGGGCCGTATACTACAAATCTGTCAGTTGAAGAAGCGCAGTGGAAGTAGATATACGCACTCGCATGTAACACTCAATGTATATATCCACTCAGGCAACTTGCTCTTGCCACACAAACACTCGCACGCGCGTCTGCGCGCCTCGGCTGAGTACCCCGCACGTGTCCTGTGTATCGCATCCGCGTCGTGAACGCCTCAAAGATAGACGCCATCGTCACGCTCAGGCGCCGGCGCCGGCGCATCACCATTCCTCTGTTCTTCAGCCGCGGTACCATTCGTCGCCGGAGCCACGCTGCCGTTGGTGACCGCACCATCAACCTTCTCTTCTTCGCGCGGCCTCCACGGCAGACCCCTCACATCCTTGACCTCGTTCTTGATCGCCTCCCTCCGTTCCTCGAACCTCTTCATAACCTGTTTGTTCTCCATCAGCGCCTCGTAGCAGTCGCGGTCGTCGTTTTCGCGCGCAAACTCCTCGAGCTGCTTGTTGCTCGATTCAAGGTGTGTGAGTTGGTTCGTGAGTTCGGAGTACTTGGCGTAGAGCGATTCGACGGAGAGGTCCTCGAGGGCCTTGGAGAAGCGCGTGAAGGTTATGGGGGCGGCGTCGGCGGACATGGCGGGAAGTAGTTCGAGAGTAGCGCGTGTCTGAGGGTTTATTGGGTTCGCAGGCAGTAGCCGGGACGTCAGTTGAACTGTAGAGTTGGGGTGTACAAGGTTTGGTGAGTAAAGTTCCGGCGTAAGTCTGTGTGGAACATGACCGCATCTGGTGGGGCAAAAGAACGGAGCTACCCCGCCAGACGCTGAGCTGTTGCCTGAGCCCACTGAATCATCCACCGCTCTGGTGAACGGTTGTCTGGAAGCTGTTCATGTTTTTTCTGTTTAGTTGGCAGTATATATTGTTTTTATTTGGTCGAGCTTGCATCAATCAGTAAAATACATGATTTTCCGGCACTTTGGCGTACGAGCTCCTCCAGTGCAACTGCCATCAACGCTTACTAATCCAAATTCTAGGGAGTGGTTAACGCGCTGGCCTGCTAGTCCTTCACCGGAAAGTTAGCCAGTTCCTTCGGGAGCGTGTGTTCGAATCACACAGGTGTCGCAACAAACCGATCTTTTTGCTCGTTCAGGGGACATCCCCAAGGAAGAACATCTCTTTTTGCGTATAAGATATCACTACAGCACATAGGCAGCTCGAAGTCTGAAGATACATCATAAGGTCGTCTGGCGTTATGGACTACGTTTTTGCACCTCTCATA